CCTTTAATTTGTTTTCAATAAAAATTACTTTTTCGAAAGTAAACATCCAACCCAACATAACGGTTATTGTTTATTTTTAAATATCAAACTAGTTAGGTAAATCTACAGATGTCACAATATATTGTATCCTTTTTTTCTATTTCTACACTCATGCCACACTGTATAATTTACCGATTCCATTACTTAAATTTAATTAAATTCCTACTTAAGTTTTTACAACATATCTTAAAGCCCGTCTTAAACTCCTTCATAGGACGATCATTTCTGTGTCTCCAATTATCTCTTCAACACGGTTGTCTGTACAAAGTCTCGGTGCACGCACATTATCTCCCCTTAGTTATAGACGGATCTACAATTAACGCGCGGAACCACGACGGTCATTAAGGCTATTACGTAGTGCTGTCTCGCGAATGGACTTGTTCTGGCCATAAAAGTGTCACCGTTTAATACCTGGCTCAGAATTGCAGAACGCCAATCTGGTACCGTCGATGTAACGCACCTGAAAGAACAGGCAGGATTGATCGCTGGCTAACTCGTGTACAGGAGGCGCGCGAGTACGTGGCTATCTGTCTCAGTCCGATGCCGAGGTTAGAACGAGTGTACGGACACTGGGCGGAGGTGAGGGGGGGGGGGTATAAATTCAACAGGTGCTACGCGATAACGGTACAGGCCCGCAAACCATAACTAAGCATCTGTTAGTTTTTAAAAAAAAAACTTAAACTTATTTTTTTTCAACATTCATTCAAACTAAAAAAAAAAACAACAAACAAGCGCGGTGTCTGAAAAAAGGTTTTTGTTCATTTAAAAAAATGCGGCTGTTCCTCCCAAACAAACACTTTCCATGATTTAATATAGTAATATATTTTTTATTAATGCAGTTTGAAACTTAACGTTTTTTTCTCTGTAAACACAACCAAGTTATAGACCTCACTCCACCCCCCACCCCACCCCAATAGATCGACATTTTTTTTCGCAATGGATTTAAAAAAAAGGAAAATCCGCGTTCATGCCCGTTGCGCAATAATCTGTTGCAATTACGTATGCAAATTGTACATCGCTAACTTGGTTTATTATTTACAGCCTCCCAACCTCCGCGGTTGAACAGAACGATTCTCGAGATAAATTATTCCATTCGGGGACTGACCAGCCGGGAAACAAAACATCACGTCTAACCACTTTATTTCTCTCAAGCACATCTGTTGTAAATAATCTCTGTATCCTTCACTCCCCCCACCCTACATATTCTCCGTGATAGTTCTCACCCCCCCCCCCTCACCCCCTACACTATCAATTTCCACATTTTCGCTGATCCCCCCGACCCTGTCCATGTGTAACATTATCCCTGGCCTGTCTCCTCAAACACTTTGGCACTGACATATCTACAGGCACACCCGGTCGCCGGGACATTCCACCCCCACCCCTCCCCCTCCCTGGGCATAGGACATGTAAATTAATAACCAGCCCGGCACAACGAGCTTGTGTTAATCCTAAATATGTGGTACGGTCGCAGACACACAATATGTAATTACATGACCACGCACATAACTTAGCGCGGTACGGTTGTCATTTAATTATATAAAACATAACTTGATCTGTTACTGGTAATAAAACAGGGAGTGTTAGTTACCGCACAAGTTAAAAGACAATTTCAGGTGCAATAGATGTTTGGACTCAAGGGCTTTGTCAGCTCATGAGAGTGTGATTAAAGATTAGACAAAAAAAAGACAAACAGTGACATAATTTTGGACTTAACCCGACAGTGAAAACACATCTGGTTTAAATGCCACGATATCCAAAAGAAAAGACGTGTGATGTTTTATTACTGATTGCATTAACCTCAATGCGGCTACTATTTGTATTTATCCATTTCGCTGATCTGTTACTATGTACTTTTTAAATGTTCCGGTCCATTTATCATTTTTATTCTTACCCCCCCCCCCCCCCCCTCTTGTTTTTTTTTTCAAAATTAATCTCCCCTTTATAATTAAGCCCCAACCCCCACCTTTAACTGCTCAGCTATCTTTCTTTCGTATTTACCTATCCTCTGTTTACAACTTCTTCTCACACCTCTTCCCCTCCTTTTTTTTCCTCACAGGAACCGCCCTTTCTCAGTTGCCTCCCTTTTTAATTACCCCCCTCTCCTCTATCATTTACCTCCCCTTTTCTCTCATGTTACCTCCCCTTTCTCATTTACCTTATTAATTAATACTGTCGTAGAAAATCCAGTCGCTTAAACAGCGATTAGACACGGGGATACCCATAGATTAGGTCCTTGGCATGAAAAAAAAAGGAAACACCAGCACTCAATCTGCGGGGGAGTTGGACGCCTACACCGTTTGCCACTTAAGAACAACAATGGGCCAAGCTTAGATTAGGGTTGACAATGATTTTTTGTTTTTGTTTCCGTTGAATGTTGGACTAATACCCAACACAATGCTTTTCGCACGCCACCGAACATGCGACCCGGTGGGAAAAAAATGTATTGGGACTTAGCTACAGTGCGTAAAAAGCTACAACGATTCCTTCCTATCTATAGTAGCCGTGACCACAAATATAGTACGGCTTAGGGGGGGAGGGATATTTTATTTTCTAAATGTCTTAATAATGCTGCCCAGTTTTCAATTGGTACATTTTAAAAAGACATCAATATGATGGCGAATCGATATAGATCTACATGCAATCAAAACTAAACAAAAACGTTTTGGTTGTTGAAAATTGATCCCAACTGGATATATATATATATATATATATATATATATATATATATATATATATATATATATATATATATATATATATATATATATATATATATATATATATATATATATATTCGTTAAGACGAACAGCACTACTGACTAGAGATTAAATTGCGAACGTCAGATAATGGCAGTTTTTACAAAACAAAAAAAAAATTGTACGAAACGTAAGAGAAGCTGTTCAAGTTAGCGTTACGGTTAAAGAAATTCATTAAAAACCGAACCTCAAAAGCCACGGGTTTAAGTTGGCAAGAGTGAAGAAAGCTGGACGAAAATAGCCCTCTAATTCTTATGCTGTGCTCGGGGATTAAGGTTAAAAGTTAAAAAGATAATACATACATCGACATATTTCCGCTTTATTTTTTAATTCTCTCGTGAAATTTCGCAACACATTTCGTTTTGTATCACCCAAGCACTTGTTTCGCCTTTAAACAGATTGTGTTTAAAAATATTTAAAAACTGATTGGAAGTACGACCACGACACAGAAGGTTGGGTTCCCCGTTGCACTTTCTTTTGTAACAGCAATGTAGATATAAAGGGATAAAGTGTTATTTCAATGCCAAAGGTATCCCGTCTTCACTTTGAGGTGTTTTAAAAATAAAAATCACCAGTCACATTAATAACATAATCTTTGAGACAGTTAACTTAATCTTTAAACAATTTAACTTGATCTTTGAGCCAATTAACTTAATTTTTTAGCCATTGACTTCAGCTTTAAGCCATTTTACTTAATCTTTGAGCCATTTTAATTAATCTTTGAGCCATTTAACTGAATATTTGAGTCATTTTACTTAATCTTTAAGCCATTTTACTTAACGTTAGACCCATTTTACTTAATCTTTGAGCCATTTAACTTAACGTTAGACCCATTTTACTTAATCTTTGAGCCATTTTACTTAACGTTAGAGCCATTTTACTTAATCTTTAAGCCATTTTACTCAACGTTAGAGCCATTTTACTTAATCTTTGAGCCATTTTACTAAATCTTTGAGCCATTTAACTTAACGTTAGACCCATTTTACTTAATCTTTGAGCCATTTTACTAAATCAATGAGCCATTTTACTTAATCTTTGAGCCATTTAACTTAACCTTTAAGCCATTTCGCCATCGTAAAACTACTCTATGCTGACAAGTCCTACTTAATCAACCCCAAACCCCTTGTTTTATTTTAATTGCTATCTACAAGAACTTTTTATAACAGTGTGCCAGTTTTCATTCGGTTGTTTTAAAACCGTCCTGTGTGGTATAGTTTACATTACCCGTCATATTTAGATTGACAGCTGTCAAAAAAATATAAACCAGATGACACAATGCCATAAAGCAAATTACCTTCTGTGACGTAGTACGCCATTATCTTTATTACAGCGCGTCGGCAGTAAACAATGGCTGAAAAAAAACTCAGCGCGCGCTTAAATAGTGCTCGTCCGCCCCGTACAGACTAAACGGTTTTCTCACAACAGTGGTATGAGCTAGTAGTAGTTGTGGTATACTGGGGGATATACTGGCAAGTAGAAGCGTTGTGCCAGATACTCGTGTTTGGTAAATAAACACGGCGTGTCAACGGAGTGCAGGCCGGGTCAGTATGGTGGAACGTTCAGCTGCTTTATGGCCGGGCTACTCGGCAGCCCTCGTTACCCACTCTCGGCTTTCATGCTCTCGAGGGCCAGGCTTTCTCGGTACCGTAAACCTTCCAATTGTTCTGGTAATTTGTAATTAGTTTTAAACCCTCGCGACACTCGTGAGATCAGGGGTTCTAAATTTATTTCCTTCCCGTAGAACAATGTACCCGGTTTCGGATTAAGATGTTATTGAGATCACAGAGTTAATTATAATTATCACATGACCAAGATGTATTTATATCAAGAAAGCGCTCACCATATAGAGACATAAGAAAGCATGAATAAGAATTAAGATATAGTTCTCTGTCATCATCATCATCTTTACGCGTTCATGCTCAAGACACACGGGGTCAGGTGAAGTAGAGTTCATCAGTTTCAGTGACCTCGGCATATGAAAGGATCTTGTGGTCAGCCGCCGTTACTTTCCCTAACGTGAGTCAAGTACACCAGCAGAGCTGGGGTGGATTGAGGGACGTCCTACAGACTCGAGCCAGGGATCCGAACTTTCGGGTTAGCATGCGAATGCTCTACAACTCGACCACACCGTCCCTCCTATAACCTTATTGGACCTATATTTCCCCACCAAACCTGTAACCACCCTTTACCTTGTGTCCCCCCAGGTGTGGAGTACGAGCTGTACTACGTGAGGAATGGCATCATCAACCAGTACGCCCTGTCCTTCGACCTACCTCTACAGTCACACATTGACGAGATCTTCTTCAACTGGCAAAGTCTCGGAAACTTTCCGGTAAGTTTTCTCATACAACCTACTCAGGCACGAATTCACTGATTTTTTGCTCTTTAACGTAAAATGTTCTACGTTTTAAAGGTTTTAAGTCCACTTTCATACACTTATAACGAGGACATTTTTACGAATCATTAAAAAAAAATTACTTTTATAGTTGTTTTTTTATTTGGGAGGGGGGGGGGGGGAGAAGCGTCTTTGTTATATATTAAAAGTCTTTGACAATATATTATAATAAGAATTCTTTTTCCGAAATAGTTATTTATTTTTTAATATTAATTCGTTTTAAGACCAAACCTATTTGTGATGTGTTCTTTTTTGTTGTTGAAAGAGTGCAATATAAGGAGATGAATTGTTTTGGATATGCTCATCGTCCTAAGTCTGCTTTATCTGCTGATACTGCAGTAAACGTCGACTTGAAATTTTTCTTTATGCTACGTTTTAGTATAACAAAGCCATGACTTAAACGTCTTGATTACTACTCGATGATTTCCGATATTTTGATGATGTCTCTGCTTCCATCTTAGGTGTTGTACAGCCTGAGCTACAACATCAGCAACCGCCGAGCCATGAACATGCCGACAGCCAACATCTCGGATAAAGGCGAGGTCCCCAACCAGGTTTCTGGTGAGTGGCAGTTTTAGAATATGAATACCAAGGTGTGCTTAACCGGCTACAAGACATTACCCCCCCCCCCCCCCCGGACAGTTCACCCCGGTCACCCCCCCCGTATTTACCCCCCCGGAACAATTACCCCCCCCCCTGTCAATTACCCCCACCCCTCCTGGGGAATTTACCCCCCCCCCCCCCCCGCATCCGCCAAGATACCTATGTACTACCTTAATCCTAACCTTAAAACAAAGACGAAAAACCTAAGAATTCCCCTCACTCTAAAATTAACCCAAACTTTAGACATTGATTTAAGCCTAACCCTGATCCTAACACTAACCCTAACCCTTACCATAACCCTAGCCCCAACCCTAACCCTAGACCTAGCCCAAACTCAAACCCTAGCTCTTGCCCTAGCTGAACCTTAAGCTATCTACTTTACTTATTTTTTAATGTATGCAATAGCGCAGGTTTAGCACGCCATAACCACCATTTGTAGTGTCCGCCATAACAAGTGCTAATTTGAGATTGTTACTTTTGTTAACTGTTGACAGTGTTTGCGGTGGCCCTGCCGTGCAGTGGTCAGATCAACGCCGAGGTCCACATCAACATTCAGATGAGCATCATCTCCAAACCAGAGCCAACCACTCTCAACTTCAAGAGGAAAAAAGTTTGTCTCAAAAGTAAGTTCATCGCATTTGACTACAGTTTTTTCTTCTTGTTCTTATACAATTTTCTCATCATTGCTTACTCATACACACTTTATTTTTTTCACGTGCAATCATATTTTTTTCTTAATAATTTCAGTTTTTTTATATTATTATTATTATTTTAAATTTTGTTGTTGTTGTTGCATTTCTTAACATACCTGAAGGAAGATTCGGCAAAGTCTGTTCAGTAAAATTCGAGTGCCGATCATTTGTGTCCTTTGTTGAGACTTAAAGCAAAACCGGGGTTAGAGGTCACCCGGCACACCATTTCATACATAAGTTTAAATAGGAACCTTCTCAACATACATGTCGCTTTATGTGGAGCCGTCTAGCGCTCGTAGATCATAGTTTGCAGGGCGAATTTCCGATTAAAAACCTTAATAGGTCTAGGATTGGCTACGTGAGAAATGCCCGATCCTTTTTTTTCTTACACATGGATTAAGGGCACTTTCTTTGACTTCGCCGTAGTCTATAGAGGAGATTGTATATTCAGCCCTATCTCCAGAAGGGTTTCTTTCAGACATATTTGTAGGGGTAGGGCGGGGGAGGGGAGTGGGAAAAGGGCTCTTGAGACTTGTGCACAAGGGCTCACTGGTTAAAGAAGGCCTATATATTTTATATATAGATTATATATTTTTCTTTTTGGTCCAGGGGGTCACCCTCCCTCCCCCCCCCCCCCCCCATCCCACCACATTCCGAAAAGAATGCTTGAACTATACTGATTCATATCCGTTTTCATCTTTCTCGAGTTGGCTACCCATCATAGCCGGGTGGACTCGAACCCTGTAGCCTGAGTACTCCCCAACTCGACCCCCACCGTCCCATGTTTATACTAATAAGCTTTGGGAAATCACCCTGTCGACGCATTGCCCTCGAGGCTCATACATTGACTCACCCACTAGCTCATCAGCACACTGTACGCATGCACTGTGTACAATATAATGTTCATGATAGTCCCAGGGGTTTTTGTACAAATAGCCAACAAGTCAAGATGGGGTCATTGATGTTACGTCATAAAGGTTAATTTACTCAAAATAACAGCGTGGTCAGCTATTAAATGGACAGTCCCTGTTTGTGACTGACGAACATCATGTTGATATTTGCTTTAGTTTAGCGAAGACTACCAAAAACTCATTTTAAAAAATGACCCACCTCGACTGTCTCTAGTTTAGCTATTCCCAGAAAAGCACTTCGTGTTGTTTTTGGCCCCTATTTTAACAATGACTATTAGAAAAGCACAATTTGACATTATTTAGTCCCTTGTTTATTTATGACTCCTATAAAAGCACATCGTGATGTTCTTGGCCCCTAGTTTAGCTATGACTCCTATAAAAGCTTCTTCTCTTCTTTTTCGTGATTAATATTAGTGCTGGAAGGAATCCCCTCCAACACAATTAACTATACGTATCAACTGGTTATGCGCCATTGAGGCCATTGACTCCGATTTCCGCCTACTTTTCTTTTTGGATTTGCTTCCATAGTTTTTGTCCAACCAAGAACAAACTACAAGGCAGCAGTTGTTTGATTTTGGAGTTGTCTCTCTTAGAAGAGTGGCTGTCCGCAGCTAACGAGCCTCATCTGCCCGAGGGTTCGAACTCGACCCTTTTTGGTTTAGCAACCATGAGCTTTTACTGACTCGACCACGCCGACCCCTACTCCTATAAAAGCACATAGTGATGTTTTTGGCCCCTTAAGCGATGACTCCCAACCAAAGTCAAGGTACCGAATGCACCTCACGTCACGAGGGGGGTTATGAAATCTCCGCCGCTGAACACCCCCCATAGTCAACACCTTCTGTCCACGCCGCGGCTTGTCTTGTAGGTCCCGGCACAAGTTTAACAAAACACCCCGGCCACATCTCGCTGAACACAGAAACAGCAGTCGTGTATACATACACCACACTTTGGCCGGCAGCCGATCAACACCATAGCAGATCACTGCCAGCGATGGCACAACCCTTCAGGTACTACATTTTTTTTTTCAAGTCTTACACCCATTCGTCCTGTTCTTGAAAAATCGTCCAATGAAATCTTACACCTATTACGTTAGCTGAGAAAAGTATACCCGTTTAGGTGCGTTGTTTTTTAAAAACACAAACTTCTAATGATAAATGCACGGAGCGTCATAGGAAAAGGGAAACAATCCATGGACTTTAAAAAAAAGGGGAAGCAAATCCTGTACTAACCCTGTCATTAACGCGGCGATTCCTTGTTTCCATGAGCAGTTTCTCTCGTTGACTTCCATTTAGCAAACGAAATGGCGATGACAACCGGGCTGATGACAGGAGCTTGCCTGTGCTCAGATCGTTACATTCTTTCCTTTTTTCTTTCTTTCTTTCCTTTTTCTTTTCTTTCTCTCTCTCCTCCTGATCCTTTCAAAGCCCCCCCCCCCTCCCCTAGTTCCCCCATCCTCACTCCAGAAAATGTTTACTCACAGCTTGACATGCGCAGACCAACACAACATCCGGGGTAACATCATTCTATGTCTAATCCCTACTTACAACATACTGGGGTAACATCATTCTATGTCTAATCCCTACTTACAACATACTGGGGTAACATCATTCTATGTCTAATCCCTACTTACAACATACTGGGGTAACATCATTCTATGTCTAATCCCTACTTACAACATCCGGGGTAACATCATTCTATGTCTAATCCCTACTTACAACATACTGGGGTAACATCATTCTATGTCTAATCCCTACTTACAACATACTGGGGTAACATCATTCTATGTCTAATCCCTACTTACAACATCCGGGGTAACATCATTCTATGTCTAATCCCTACTTACAACATACTGGGGTAACATCATTCTATGTCTAATCCCTACTTACAACATACTGGGGTAACATCATTCTATGTCTAATCCCTACTTACAACATACTGGGGTAACATCATTCTATGTCTAATCCCTACTTACAACATACTGGGGTAACATCATTCTATGTCTAATCCCTACTTACAACATACTGGGGTAACATCATTCTATGTCTAATCCCTACTTACACCATACGGGGGTAACATCATTCTATGTCTAATCCCCTAATTACAACATTTTATTTCTAATCAAAGAAATACAAACGTTAATCATTTTCAATATTTAATCTTTTAAAAACATTGGTGTAGTTTAACGTAAATGCATTTAAGTAAAATTAAGTATGTCAATGAGATTCGGGTTTTAAAAATATTTTACATGTATAGTTATCAGTAACAATTTTCGTCGCTCAAGGTGATGTTAAATACCTACACTTTTTTTTACACCTTTAACCGTATTCATTACAAAAAATGCGTCTACACGTAATACTGGACATCATAATGCATATGTATAAAACAAAACCAAGGTGGTATGTTACGGTACTTTCATAGTACTTCTTTGTTTACATTAAATACACACTGCCTCGCACAGCAACAGTGTTACAAACCACGTAATAAAATTTTCTGCATAGTATTACTTTTATTGCCAGAGTTCACAGTAAGCTTAACATTTGTTTATTTACTGCGTAATGTTGGTGTTTAAAAGAAATGATTTTTTTTTCGTAAATTTAAAAAAAGCCACAAAAAGTACGATTTGGTAGACGGATTTAATTTCACAATAAAAACGTTTTTTTTTTCGCACAAGGAGGTAATTTAGTGTCAGTTACACAAGGGAGATTATTATCACTTTTATTTATTCGACTTTTGATGCAAGACCACTGCGTATATAAATAACTGGGTTATGCTGTTGATTTTTTTTTTAAATTTTCAATTTAAACAACGATTGTAGCCTAAGCTTTATTTGATTAGGTAAAGAAGTGTATTTTAACTTATTTAAAAAGTATAGCCAAGAAGTTAACACGTTACTAACAGCTGTATGTGCAAATGCACCGTGGGTAGAGTGATGCTACTTTCAGTGTGGGAACATTGCCACCGCTTTCGGTGGGCATAATTCTACTACTTACAACATTGGCACATAGCTGCCTCTTGGGCACATTGCCGCCACTTATAACGTGGGGCACAATGCCGCCACTTACAACGCGGGACACAATGCCGCCACTTGCGATGTGGCTGGTATCTGACAGGCTTACAAGACAGGGGCAGACAATTAGTTCAGGGGAAGCAAATCTTGGCCGTGTTGGCTAACGAAAAGCAGATGCGTATGTGTGAAAGCATCTAAGAGATCCAGTACAGCGGTTCCCAAACTACAGTTTGTGTCGACTTATGACGGCACTATATTTTTGAATAAATCACCTTCTCTTTTTTTCTTTAGTACTATCAAAATATTGCAACGGTGAACCACAATTTGTGTGTCGTCTGGTGTAAAGAAATTGAAAAAAAAAAGACTTGAACATTATTGTTATGTGTTGGAAAGATTTAGAAAAACAACAACAAAGAACAGAAAAGCGTGGAAGGACGTTGTGAATGGCATATGCTCCACTAGGAGTTGAAAATGGCGAAGAAGAAGTAGAAGAAAAAAAGCATTTAAGATGTGTATAATACAAAAATATACTCTCAAGCCTAGGGGGGTGGGGCATTCATCATTATTTTGCTATTTTAACCGATTTTATACCCCTCTCTCTACCCCCCCATTTTTTTCCTCTTGTAACACATGGTCACGAAGCCATCCCCTCCCCATATTCCCCCTTAAAGTCACAACGTTACATCCAATGCATGCTAGGTACCACATATAGCTGGGTAAATGTATGGGCAACGACACATAAACTGCGAGATTCGCAACCTGACAAAAAGTTCTAGTCTGAAGGAATTTTTTTTTTTGTCTTTTCTTTTTTAAAGATAAGTCTTCGTTTCTTTGTTAAACCTAAGATTATTTCTTCGTTTGTTTGTTAATCCTAAGATTATGTCTTCGTTTTATTTGTTAAATCACAGATTATATGTCTTCATTTCTTTGTTAAAGATCATAGGTCTTTGTTTATCTGTGTTAATCAGAGATTTTGTGGCTTCGTTTCTATATTAAACATGAGGTTCTAC